CCTGGATGTTCACAGGCAGTCAACCACCTCTCAGTGACAACAGAGGCCTTTGAAAGAGGAAAGTTCTTGGGTCCGCCAGTGAGACTCGAACTCGTGCAATCCTCCTCGTGAGCGGATGCTATATCCACTCACCCACTGAGGGCTGGCTTCCACGTCTTTGATTGTCAAACAGTATATAATTCCCGATTGTTTCGCATATTTTGTTTTCAACAGTTTTGCTATTTTCTCGATCTGTTCCCAGATATTAACTCTTCCTTTACTTCCAACTCTTCCAAGACTTTAAAAACTTGTCCACAAAACTCATATCAAATTTTAGGCTAATTTTTGCTCTATAAGTAAATAAAAATACTTTTTAATAATAAAAACACTTAACTAATTATAAAAATAATGTGCAACTTATTAATGAATTGTCTCATTATTAGCGTTAATTCAATCACTTTTATGGCAAAAGTTTTGCCAATAGTTTTCATTAAACGCTAAACATGTAAATCATTCGGCAATCACTAAACGATCCCTTATTTCACACAAACACTCAAATGTTGCAAAACTTTCACAAAACACAAAAGTAACGTAAAGTAAACGTTAACTAAACACAAAACACAATTAATAACAGAGTAAAATACCAGTTTTAGTCAGTAAGTTTACCTGAGTTTCAGAAGTAGTTAGAGGAGGCGAACGGAGAACCGATCGGAAAGTGATGTCAAAAGTAGTGCTAAACTCAAAGTCGAGCCCAAAGTGGAGGACGAGTCGGAAGAGACGGCTAATGGAGACAAGAAGACTGTCACCAAACGGGAACCGCTTTCGCTCGAAGAACTGAAGGCCAAAATGGATGCCGAAGAGAAGGCGAAGTCTAAACCAGTGTTTCTGACGAAAGCCCAAAGGGCTGAAGAGGCCATCAAACGGAGACAACAAGAAGTCGACGAACAGAAGAAACGGATGGAAATGGAGAGGAAGAAGAGGTTGCAGTTCATCGATGAGGCGAAGAAGACATCCAGAGATGACAGGGATAGGGATAGAGATCGCGGCCGCGATCGGCGCCACGACAGGGAGCGCGAGAGAGACAGAGACCGCGATCGCGACCGCAGAGACGGTATGTGTTTGTCGGACATGTGTTGACGCCATTCATCCATTCATTTGATTTATTTTGTTTCTCTTCAGACAAACACAAACCCGAAGACTTCCTGCTGCACTTGCTATTCTCGTGGCTTTTCGAATTCCTCTTTCTCACGCTTCGGTAATTTCTAGCAATGAATCCATAACTTATACTGAATTGTCCGCTAGGTTACTACACAATTAGATATAAATGATTTCTCTTCTCAAAGGTATTGTGAAACGTAAGCGAAGAGTGCGTCGACTGAATGAACGCAAGTTTGTGTTTGATTGGGACGCGGGAGAGGACACGTCCAACGACTACAACGTGCTCTATAAGGACAGACACACCATACAGTTCTACGGGAGGGGACACGTGGCCGGCATCGACATCAAGTCCCAGAAGAAGGAACAGTCGAAGTTCTACGGAGAGCTTCTCGAGAAGAGACGGACCAATGCCGAGAAGGAACAGGAGATCGTTCGGCTCAAGAAAGTGCAGAACAAAGAGGACAAAGTGAAATGGGATGAAAGGCATTGGACTCAGAAGTCGTTGACCGAAATGACTGAAAGGGATTGGCGTATATTCAGAGAGGACTACAACATCGCCATCAAAGGCGGCAGAATTCCCAACCCATTGAGGAGTTGGGCCGAAGCGGGTCTTAACAAATCCATTCTCGATATCATCGACGGATGCGGTTATAAAGAGCCGACGCCTATCCAGAGACAGGCCATCACTATTGGCCTTCAGAATCGCGACATCATTGGTGTCGCTGAGACCGGCTCTGGAAAGACATTAGCATTTTTGATACCACTTTTGGTGAGTTTTTTCATAATTTAATACTCGAATTAAATGTAACTTTATTTGCTTTCTATAGGTATGGATCACATCATTGCCAAAGATAGAGAGACAGGAGGACATAGATCAGGGCCCATACGCTATCATAATGGCGCCGACCAGAGAGTTGGCCCAACAGATCGAGGAGGAGACCATCAAGTTTGCGGCGGCGCTCGACATACGCACCGTCGCTGTGATCGGAGGCATATCGCGCGAAGACCAGGGCTTCAAACTAAGGCTCGGTGTGGAGATTGTGATCGCAACGCCCGGCCGTCTCATCGACGTGTTGGAGAACCGGTATTTAGTGCTCTCGCGCTGTACTTACATCGTGTTGGACGAAGCGGACCGTATGATCGACATGGGCTTCGAGCCCGACATACAGAAGATCCTCGAGTATATGCCCGTCACTAACATCAAGCCCGACACCGATGAGGCCGAAGACGAACAGAAACTGATGGCTAATTATAAGTCAAAACATAAGTACAGACAGACTGTTATGTTTACGGCAACAATGCCTCCGGCGATCGAAAGGTGCGTTTATTTGTGTGCTTTGAATGCAAGTAAACTAATTTGTGATAATTGTTTGACTCCTTAAAGACTGGCGCGAACTTATTTGCGACGTCCGGCCAACGTATACATCGGTTCGGCGGGCAAACCGACCGAACGAACGGAACAAACCGTTTATATCTGTTCGGAGAACGAGAAGCGCAAGAAACTGATGACCATTTTGGAGGCCGGAGTCGAACCGCCGGTCATTATATTCGTGAACCAGAAGAAAGGCGCAGACGTTTTGGCTAAAAGTCTCGACAAATTGGGTTTCTCTTCCTGTACTCTTCACGGAGGCAAAGGTCAGGAGCAGAGAGAGTACGCTTTGGCCAGTCTTAAGACCGGAGCCAAAGACATTCTGGTGGCCACTGATGTCGCCGGTCGTGNTTTGGCCAGTCTTAAGACCGGAGCCAAAGACATTCTGGTGGCCACTGATGTCGCCGGTCGTGGTATTGACATCAAGAATGTCTCACTTGTTATCAATTACGATATGGCGAAGTCTATTGAAGGTAATGGCACTCAACTGATGATTATTTTTGAATTATACTTTATTTTTATTTATTTGTTGAACAGATTATACGCATAGGATTGGTCGGACGGGTAGAGCGGGAAAGACAGGTCAAGCCATCTCTTTCCTCACTAAAGATGATTCGCATCTATTCTACGATTTGAAGGCACTGTTGATGTCATCGCCGGTCTCTACGTGTCCGCCAGAGTTGGCCAATCATCCCGAGTCTCAACACAAACCCGGAACTGTTGTGCAGAAGAAACGCAAAGACGAGACTATATTTGTCTGAATTAACGTTCATTTCTAAACTATGTTGTAATTCATTTGCATTGAAATTGTAAATAATTTTATTTAATAAAATAAATGAATTTTAAATTAATTTTGTTGTCAAAAATGAAGTGTTATTTAGTAATAAATTTTGTATTGTTTTTTTTCGAAAAAGCGTTGCATTCAATAATTGGCAATCATTTGTCGTACATCTGTTGAGCGATTTGTTTGAGTTTGAATTTCTGTATCTTTCCGGTCACTGTTCGGGGAAAGTCGTCCACAAATTCAATATTTCTCGGGATTTTGTAATCACTTATCTATAGGTTTAATATATGGTTTAACCACTAAAAACACTTATGGAAACAGTTTGTCCTCAAATTCATACCTTTCCCTTACAATAACTTCTTAACGAGTCTTTATCTAAAGTACTGTTCGGTGTCTTTATAACAAATGCCACCAAATCTTCTCCCAATCTCTCGTCAGGAATCCCCACAACCTTTGCATTACAGTAGAGAATAAAATAAGTTTATTAAATAAAGTATTAGCAAAAAGTTTGCAGAGTTTGCTAATTGTATGTGTGTTTGGAGTGGACAACAATACCTGGACATCAAACACCTCGTCGTGTTTAATAATAAATTCTTCTATTTCTCGGGGATATATGTTTTCTCCGCCTTTTATTATCATTTCCTTGAGTCGACCGCACATTGAAATATATCCCAATTCATCCATTGTTCCGATGTCTCTAAACCATTAGTAAGTTGTTTTTCATTAATTGGAGATACAGTATAAGAATAACTCTCATAAGCCATACCCCGTGTGATACCACTTATTCTTGTCGATCACTTCATCTGTTTTGTCCTTTTGATTCCAATACCCGGAGAATACATTGTGTCCGCGACTGCATATCTCTCCCGCTTCACCGATAGGACAGATCTCACCGGTAGTTGTGTTCACTATTTTTGTCTCCAAGAGCTCGAGTGGTCGTCCAATGGTTTCCAACCCTTGCTTCGCTGAGTCGTGTCTTGTTGTGGCACTTATAACAGGACTGCATTCAGTCGTCCCGTAACCCACCTATTGGTTAAACATATTAACAATAAAGTAATGAATGACTAATTAATTATTTTTGATATAATTTTAGACCATAAAGTGTCTACACGACGGAAAGGCTTTCATAGTTTTCTCCAATATATGTTTAGGACAAATACTACCGCCCATTATACCTATCATTTGAAACGATTGTATTTTAATTTTAAATAAACTTTAATTAATAAAAACCTTGTTTTAATGAACTGGTGTTAAAGTTTTGAGGATTTGAGTTCACGATATCGATAAACATAGTGGGAGTGCCAAAAACTACTGAACATCTTTCAAATCCAAACAATAAATATTTTAAAATATATTTTATAAATTTAAAAGTACTTGTATTTTTCAATAGCCTTAAGAGTTTCAATGGCGTTATGTATGGGTGAGGGCAGTACTAGAGTCCCCTTATGAGCGGTGGCCCCAATTGATCCGCAAACTGATCCAAAGCAGTGATAAAGTGGTGGAATGACACAAAATATGTTACTCGTGAGCCCTTCGGTAATGAGTTTTCCAAAAAAGTAAGCGTTTTGTGTGATATTATGATGACTCAAAACCGCCGCTTTCGGGGCGCCGGTTGTGCCGGAAGTGAACTGAATATTAATGGGTTCGTCGAAATCAAAAGCTGTGTTCATATTATTATTGCCGTCAAAACTATTGATAAACTCATTAAATCTAATCATATTCTTCGGCGCGTATTCCTCTCCATCCGTGCTATTCATCACAAGAATGTTTTCAAGAGTTGGGATTTTAGTGCCTAAACATTA